ACACAGAATCCCTGCTGGCAGCCACACTCCTGGGGTGGTGAAAATCAGTGACACTGATGGGACTTTGCTCCCCTTCAGACCTTGAACCATCCAGGTTTCTTCATGTCTCCCACCACCACCACCTGTCAAAATAGAGAGAAAAGCTCTTTAAGAGGTGATTCAGGATATCTGACTAAGTTTTTTCCCTTGAATCACCTTCTGGAGAAACTTGGACTTCTCCATGAACCAGAAGGGACCCAAGCTCTCAGCCTGCGCTCTGCAGCTTGTGCTGTCATCCCCTCTGGGCCTCTCCTACTCCATGGAAATGGGCTCAAGCTGCACCAGGGGAGGTTTAGATTGGATATTAGGAAAAATTTCTTCATGGAAAGGGTAGTCAAGCATTGGAACAGGCTGCCCAGAGAGGTGGTGGAGTCACCATCCCTGGAAGCATTCAAAAAACAGGTAGATGTGGCACTTTGGGACATGGTTTAGTCTAGTCTACCCTTGATTGGTTTAGTGTGGACTTGGTAACGTTAGGTTAATGGTTGGACTGGATGATCTTAAAGGTCTTTTCCAACCTAAACGATTCTATGATTCTATGGCTGAGAGTAACAAAAAAAATCCCATCCTTGTCCAGGACCCAGCAGAGTCAGTCAGGCCCTTCTTCTCTGTTCCCCCATGTCACACTTTGAAAGAGTTGTGGACTCATTTCATTTGAATAATGATGTCAAGAGTCATTGGTTTGGCTTCTAAGTGACACCGGCGAGCACATATTTGAAATCAGAAAACACAGGGAGCACAAAACATGCAACCACCAACACAGGCTGAACTCCTTTTTTACAGTACAATTATTTTCATTTTTTTAAAAATTGCTATTTTTTCAAAAAGTCCTAATTCTGGGAGTGTGTGTCCCCAACACTTTAACCCATACTACCCAAACTGCTGTCTGCAAGGTGCTAGTGATAAACAGCCACACAAAATGGCTGTGTCTGTATGAGCAATTCAGCTGAGCAGAGGACACTTCTCCAGCCCTGAGGGCACCAAGCTGGCTTGCATCCGTACAGCTAAACTCCATTCAGGATGGCATCATCCAGCTCTGCCCTGGGACTCACCCCTGGCTCCAGTTCTGACTCAGGCTAAAAGTTTCAGGTAAAGACATGAGAGTTGAGAAAATTGTGCTCTGTTGTCCAGGAACATCACCATTTGTTTCAGAGTCATGTCTTGGGTTTTCCATCACCCCAAATTAGCATACATCCAGCAGCCACCAAATGTTCCAGGAGCTGCTATGTGACCCAGACTGGCAGGACCATGGATTTACTGTGGATTTCTGTAGGCATCAGCGCTGCTGGTTATAACCTCAGCCCAATCCTGGCAGCCTGGTAACTGCTACAAAGCACCCAGGAACAGGCAGTTCAGCCTCCCCTGGGAGCTGGACACTCACAAGGAGACTCACAGCCACATGGAGGAAACAATTTTCTTGGACTCAGTGGGTGGAGCCCCCCTCCACTGTGTCTAGCAGAGGATGCAGATCTGGGTTCCACCACTGTCTCACCAAACATCCCCTTTCAAGTCACCTCAGTGCATTTCCCATTTGCAAAGTGTTTTGAGATCCACAGACGAAAAGGTCATGGGAGAGGAGAAAAGGATGCCTTTTCTTGCACAACTCTAAGGGGGGTCAGCCACACAAACAGAGAGTGAAAGCATTCACAGTGAGGTCTTGGAGGTACGTAATGGGGACTTCTAATGCAAAGCAGTGCAGTTCGGCCACCTAAAAATAGCAATTAAAAAAGAGAACTAGTGTAAATCAGAAGCTATTTCCAGCCTGCTGGAGCATGGGCACTATGTTTCCCTAAAACAGCCCCCAGCCACCAAAATAGGCATCCTCCAAAGCGAATGGGCAAGCAGCATCCCTGCTGAGGACTACAGCTCCCAGGAGCCTGCAGCGCAGGCAGCCCCTGTGTGGGGACCAGGCGTGGGCAGCCAGGCAGGGGTATGGGCAGGGAGGCAGCGCTGGCTGGGGATCCCCCCACCCATGTCCGAGAGGTTTCGGGGCTGCTGTTTCCTACCCCCAAGCCCTTTCCCTGCCCGACCCAGCTCCTCTTTCTCTGTTTCTCCTCCCCCGGTAGTTTTTACATCACTGACACAGACTTCCTGTGAGTCAGCAGCAGCAGACATGAATGAAGCAGCTGGAAGAAGAAGAAGAGCTCAAAGTGGGTAGAAATAAGAAAATTGGGCCAATGACACTTGGACACTTCCAGACCCGCATGCTGCTGAGGGAGATGGGAGACAGGTCAGTAATCAGCTGAGCTGGGATGTCTGGGGCCAGGACGGGATGCTCAGGGCTGAACCCCTCCATGGTGTCCGCATGTGTCCCGCAGCATCCCGGGGCAGCAGCGGGACATCTCTGGAAGTTGGTGCCACTGCTGCAAAGCTGAAGTGTTTGCCAAGGTTGGCTGTGGTGGAGCAAACTGTCCCGGCTGGGATAAATCACCTTGTTTGTCTTTCTCAGGCTGAATCCTGTCTGAGGGATCAGGCTTGCTCCCCTGGCTGGAGGTGACCGATGGAGTCAGAGTTACAGATGGTCCTGCTCGGCATGGGAGCAGGCAGCTTGGCTAAATGCAGGGAGCAGCACCAGCAGCCCAACATGGGAAGGGGCATCCGTCCTTTAAAATCTGCCTAAAAATGATGCTTCTGGGGCATCGGTGTGACAAGTACTTGCAGGAGTGATGGACGCATGGGTGGGAATGAGTTAATAGATCCAGCCTCTGCTTTGCAAGGAGGAGCTCTGCCTGCCTATGCCTCTGTGTGTCTGTGTGTGTGTGCTGGTGTGGGGGTTGTTCCCAGTGAAAGGAGCAGAGCAACAGCTGAGGAGATGCTCCCATGCATGTGTTTTACAAGCGAAATTCAGGCAGCTGTGCTGACATGCAGCCACCTCCAGAAAAAACAACCCAGCACATGGTAAAACAGCTGGAGAGAAAAGTTTGCCCAGAGTCACCTCTGGCCTTGGAAAAGCTGGTCACCACAGAGTAAAAGCAACATCCATTTCTGAGCCTGAAAGGTTTCCAGAGAACATCTCACCTAACACCCATCTTTTCTCTTGGCAAGAAATGCAATGCCCTGGATGCCTGCTGGGATGGCTGGATCAGGGCTCCCTTTGCTCAGCTGAGGGGTCAGGCAGAGGCTTCTCAGGATGCCTCATCACTTTGGGGCACTTGGGAGTCAAGGAGCAGGGGAGGAGAGAGTTTTGGCTGGCTGGACTATCATCAGGGACCCTTCCCCAGGAGCGGCCCCAGATAAGTTCTTGGGGCAGTTTGGTGCTGGTTCTCCCATGAAGAAAGTCTATGGCAAATGGGGTTCTTCTTCAGCCTGGAATTTTCATGCAGATGGGTCAATAATGCTGCTGGTGGTGTGGCTGCACCCTTCATGGGTCAGGCATGAGAACCTGCAAATGGAAGCTGGCACCAAGGCAAAGCTGGACCTTCAGCAGTCCAACTGGAGGGCAAGGGGACAGGGGAAGGAGTTGAGTTCTTGCTGTCTTCCTGGACACCAGGAGACCCTCTCTGTCTGCTCAGATGTATTCTTGGTCACCGGCCCAGCAGTCTTGCACAGGCTCCAGTGTCTGCCCTGGTGCTGCACCAGGAACTGAGGACATCAGTGTGATTTTCACTTCTGCCTCCAGCCTGTCTGGCTGCAGCTGTGACCCAGATGTCCCTGTCCCCTCACTGAGTTAGATGTGACACAAAATCTCGAGAGCAATAAATGGGCACCTGCTGAGGGACAGGAGCCCCACAGAGTTTGCACAGCCAGATGAGCCTCAGACCATGCTCAGGCAGTTCTGTTTCACAGATGTGAGATTTCGGTGCTGTCTGGAGGCGGGGGAGTGCAACGTGATATGTCCCAGAGATGAGCAGCTGTTTGCTCATCCTCAGCATTTCGCCTGATGGTCCCAGAAGGTCCCCCTCTGCCAGTGCACTGAAGGAGGGACAGGTG